AATTGGTCTGTAGTTGTTACATACAGTCGGGTCAAGGGAGGTTTTCTTTAATAGAGGTTTTACCACCGCTTGTTTAAGACAGGACGGGAATTTCACCTGGCCCAATGAAGCATTTATTATTGCAACAAACCCTTCCAACAGCCCTTCTTTGGCCAGTTTAACTAGCCAGGACGGGCAAGGATCCAGAGCACAAGTGGTTGCCCTCACCGTCCCAAGGATCCCCTCTACGTCATCAGGTAGAATAAGATGGAAAGAATCCCATAAAAAAACTGGAGTCCAGCTCGAGACGTATCTGAGCGACTTTGCCTGCAAAATGGTGCGCAAAATCGCTGCACCGAGTTGCCGAGTTGTCCATTAGCTCCCCAATCTCAGGAGGCCAGAGAAGCTCCCCAACAACCCGGAACAACTCCAATGGTCAATTTGCTGCAGACGCTATGTGAGCAGTCGAGAATACTCTTCTGGCTGCTCGCAAAGCTGCGGAGTAAGCCCTAAGAGCGGCTTTAGATCTTGCTTGATCATACACACCCCAAGATTTCCTCCATATGCTCTCTAGACGCTTCATCTCTCCAACGCTTCATCTCAGCCAGCTCCTCTGTAATACTCCACCTCAGACATCAGAAGAGCTGCAAGACCGAGAACAAGCCATGAGAGTAAAGACAAAGGAGGAAAAGTGTTCTTGCCATACATCAAGGGAACCACTGACTGCATAGGAAAACTGATGAGAAAACACAACATATAAACTATCTACAGACCCACCAAGAAAATCCAACAAATGCTATGTTCAGCAAAGGACAAGAGGGATCCTCTCACTTCTGCAGGAGTCTATTGTATACCATGCAGCTGTGGACAAGTCTCCATAGGGACCACCAAATGCAGCACCCAAACACGAATCAAGGAACATGAAAGGCACTGCAGACTCCTGGACACAGCATATTATTTGAGAACACAGAAATGCTGGACCATTCTTAACAACCACCATGTCAGACTACACAGAGAAGCCATTGAAATCCACCAGCATGTGGACAATTTCAACAGAAAGGAGGAAACCATGAAAATGAACAAAATCTGGCTACCAGTATTAAAAAAATTTAAAATTACAACAGCAAAACAACAGAGGAGAAACAATCAGGCACATCTAATTACCTCTCAACAAAAGATTGCCCCAGGCACTGCCAGGCCATCAAATGCTAATCAAGGTGGTCAGTTGAAACATTCACACCTAGCTCCAACAGACAAGAGTTCTTTGTCCCACCCTGGTCATTCCACAGACATATAAACCCACTTTCCTAGTTCCAATAGACCTCACTACCTTTGAGGATGCTTGCCATAGATGCAGGCGAAACGTCAGGAGAAAATGCCTCTAGAACATGGCCGTATAGCCCGAAAAAACCTACAACAGCCCAGTGATTCCGGCCATGAAAGCCTTCAACAATACAATCATCATCATCACCATCACCATAATTTTTATTTATACCCTGCCGCCATCTCCCAGAGGGACTCAGGGTGGCTCACAATGCATGATGGAGGGTAGATAGACAGGAGAATGTGCACGATTGGAATCCAAAGACCTTCAAAGTAGTGAATTAATAAATAAGTTCTTCATACTACATGTATAGGTCTGGCAATGAAACTTGTAGTCCCTAAGACTGACAGCAGACCTCCTTTCCATTATGTTGCAAGTGATGAAAGCTTCTAGGAAGCTGTCTGTTCTGATACTCTGAGCACAAATAGGGCACTTTCAAGGAGTTTCTTTTAACCTTCAGGGCGAACCTGTAGAAATATATCCACCTTAATCTTCCCTTCTTTGTCCACTTCTTGAAAAAGAGAGGACTTTCGTATTCCTCCTTAGAGATGCAGCTTAATAGCTGTCACTTCCTTGAAGCCACCCTCTGCATCTTCATGATTTTCTTCACTTGAGGTTAAGAGATTTCTCCATGACCTGTGCAACCCTTACCCATCAGCTTCTTCTCCTGCACCATCAATGGAGCATCATTGTCGTCCTTTCTGTGTTGGGACATAATCCCTTTGAACCATAGGCAGTTATTTACTTGGATCTAGTTCCCATTAAAATGTATTCTTGGTCACCATAATACTCTGCTGCAAGAGTAAAAAGAACTGTATACAGGCAGTCCACAAGTTACAAACATCCGACTTACAAATGACTCCTAGTTAAGAATGGGGGTGAGACAACAGTAAGTGAGAGAAATGAAGATTGTGAACTACCTTACCCTTGTGGAAGAAAAGGTCAGAGTATAAATTAGAGGCAGTCCTCAAGGTAAGACAAAATAGGTTCTGTAGATTTGTTCTTAAGTTGAATGTGTATGTAAGTCAGAACAGACACATTTTTAAAGTGTAACTCCAGCCAAAATGTGTATTTTTTACTTTTGGATCATATAGGGAAGTGTTAAGTGTGGTATTTGTTTTTCTGTATGTGCCCCTGTTAAGAAGATTCCACCTCACTTTCTGTCTCTATGTTCATTGAATTTTGAAAACTGGCTTGTTGTGGAAACAAGGATTGGTGAGAAAACTTCAGTGGAGACCTCTTTTCCCCATGATAACTCTTTCATGAGTGAATTTCTCTTCCGAGGAGTAGATATGTACATTTGGCTGGAGGTGGGGTCCCCCTCTTACCTCTGAGAAGATATTTTCCTACTTACTTTTCTCCCAAAGCTGTTTTTAGAGTGAGATGCTCTGCTGTACTTTCCCCAATGCTCAGTTTCTACATTGATTGAACATTTTAGAAAGCCACCACAGTGTTACTAAGAAGTCACACACAGTGTAAAAGGGTGGAGCTCTTGCAAAAAGGCCCTTGTAGGTCTCTTCCAACTATAATTGGCTCATTTTTCTAAGATTCTGAAGGGTCTGCACAGGTGGCAGAAAGTCCCATATCTGTGACTTCACAGATGACTGCTTGAGAAGCCACGGTTAAAGATTTGCAACCTGTTCTTATTGATAGAAACCACAAAAAGGGGAAAGGGGAGTCATTTTAGTGTGCTGCAAGTGATTCAGTTCTACCTTAATGCATTATGTTAAGGGAAAAACTGTCAAGCTCAACATTTGGGACTGTCAAATAATAAGAAATTTGTACAGTTACAAAGAAAAAGGGGAAAGGAAAGAAAAGTGCTTTTAAGCTCTTTCTCTTGGGATGCCAAGAAATTTTATTAGCTGGCTTCTCTTTCACTCAATGTTTTTCTGCTCCAAAATGCCAAAAGTATAAAAGAAAATTGGGATTTCTCCTGGCTTCAGTCCTAAGAGGCAGGGGGGCGGGCATGTCTCAGGCCAAGCTGGCCAAGTACAGAAGAAACTAGAATGCTCCGTATGAGTTAGTGAACAGGATCCAAGTTTGACTTGGAAGGTTCCTTCTGCTCCATAAAGCATCTCTGCAGTGATTTTAATATAGGTATAGTATGCTCATGCCTAGATGTATCAATCTGGCTGCCATATTTTGAACTAATTGGGGTTTCTGAACTTGGGACAGAGGTAGCCCAATGTGTGGCACATTGCAGAAGTCCAGTGGTTCTCAACCTTCCTAATGCCGTGACCCCTTAATGCAGTTCCTCATGTTGTGGTGACCCCCCAACCAAATTTGGCACAATTACCCAATACACCCAAATTTGAATACTCGTGGGGTTCCTACCGAATCCAGGTTAGGACCCTTAATATACAACCTAGATTCAAGTTCTGGTTTGTGACCCTGTTTATGGTTTACTCATTCCATCTATTTCAGTGGTTTTCAACCTGTGAGACCCCAGGTGTTTTGGCCTACAACTCCTAGAAATCCCAGTCACTTTACCAGCTGACATCTGGGGGCCCACAGGTTGAGAATCACTGATCTATTTGATAGATATTCAATTTCCCTCTTATACAGGAGATAAAATTAACCATGCATATATTGGAGCATTTCTTCTGGTCTGTCACTAATGCACAATATTTTTAATTGTTTTTATTGGGGTTTTTTTTCTTTAGATACCACCTTTTGGTACATGCAAAAAAGAAATTAGTTGATAAGGGATGGGAGAGTCAAAATAAGCAATGCTGGGTTTTTTCATGGCTCACTCAACCATGAAATTTTCTATATGGGTATCGCTGCTGTGTGTATAATCAATGTACATGGATGCCTATACAAAATACAGTGTCATAGGCATAATGTGGAACTGGTTTACTGCAGTGTCCTGTTGCGTATGTGTGAAGTAACCGTGCTTGTGTGTATGTAGAAATAAGCTGTCTCTAAAATGCCGGTATCGGGATCTACCTATTCACTTTAGATTCTAAAAAGCATTTTGCAGGAATTCCTACTCTTTTGGTTGGAGACCCAACTTACAATTCCGACTTATTTTCAGTATGATGTTTTCTGCATTTAACCTAACATTGGGTCACGGCTTTCACAAAAGCCCTCTTGGTATTATGATGTGGTCTTTGTCTGTACTTTAAATAATTGCTCTTTGATCAAGCTCCATTTCTTCCCAATGGGTGCACACACCTTATCTGTTAATAAGGAACAGGTGAACTGTTCAATAGTCAGCTTTTGCGGCATGCAGCGGGAGAACTTTTTAATTGATTATATTGCTCCAATGAAGCACCACTCTCTTTTGTTGGGGGGGGGGGTGAAAGAGTAAAAGGGATACTCTTTCACCCACCCCCCCACAAAAGAGATGGTGCACATCTTTTCTGGCAGATTTTATGGGATTTCGTCAAGTGTGTGGGCAACGAAAATATCAAAAGTTGAAGCAGGTGGTAGAATTGGGTTTCTTTTATTTTTCAGGTGGGGCGTTGGTGCCTTTGTTAGCCTGCTCCCCTTTCCTGAACTTGCAAATGTAGTGCTATGCCAAATAGCCTTAACAACAAAGCAGATCGATTTGCAGTATTACAAGCTGCAAGATTCCATTTTCACTTATTGTCAAGTTTGGAAATTTCAGTATGCACATTAACCGAAATTACAGTGCTATGAACATAGCAAAACACTTTTTTGAACATTATTTATTTCATTTTCCCACTTTCAGGATGTTGGGCTCTTGGAATACCAGCACCATGCCAGGGACTACCCTTCCCATTTGGCCCCTGGGTCTGTCTTGCAGCCACAAAGAAGAAGACCATCCTTACTCTCGGAGTTCCAGCCAGGAAATGAAAGGTAAGGGTAATGGGGAGTTCTCTGCCTGTGCGGGGTTGTGAGCAGTATCTTGCAAAACCTGGAAATATAAAATGATGCCCAAGAAAACCATCAAGGCTATGTTTTGGTAAAGATTCTAGTAATAGAGGTTGAGTAGAGGCATTTTATTGTCCTGAGCTATTCAGTTATATTGTCTGTGCCCTGCAATCCACTTGCAGCATTCCAGAGAGGGCAGAGATATTTGCAATTTAAGTGCACCCCTGGTATTCTCTGGGATATTGCAAGAGATTCTGGGAACAGGTGTAGCTTCTGTGGTTTTTCTTTGAGAACTTACACAGCTGAAGGGTCTCTAAGGCAATATATTCATCCCTTGATTCTCTTTATACTGCTGCAGCCAGTGTGGTTCCTCTCAAGTTGTGGAAGGGTGGTAGGATACATGTTTGGATGACAAAGCTGCCAGATTCATTTTCTGGCATCTCAGGTTGAAATAGGTACCAGGTGAAGAGAACACTTGTCTGAGAGCCATGATAGTAGTCTAGATCACTGCTGTGAGTCCTGGCCCCAAATGAGGTCCTCTTAGCTCAGTGTTGGGGGGTCACGAAAAATTTGGCAACAGTAAAAAGTTTCTAAACAACACCCATTTACACAGTTTGGAGAGCAACAGTGTGCAGTATTTACAGTGGACACCGCAGAAGATGTTTCAGCTGTTCTTAGCAAAAAGGGAAATCAGCCAGTTTCACAAGCCATGCAAATGCTGATTTAGTATCAGTAAATGTTTGATTTGTATACCTATTTTATATTTCTGTATACCCAGAGTCATGCCAAAATTTCTTATATGGTTGCAAGCGGAAAAAAATTAAGAAGTTCTCGTCCAAATGGACCAACCATTTGATTACACAATGATAGTACTGTGTTTCCACCTTCGTTGCCATGGCTGTATCCTAGGGAATTGTGGGGTTGGCCTCTTAGGGAGGGGCCTTTAGAATTATGAGCTCCAGGTCTTCATCAAACTGCCAAACTTGGGATTCCATGGCAGTTGAAGTGGAATCGTTGGGTTATAAATGGGCCTCTAGTATCAGTTAGCTTTCTGAGTACTTGAGCTCAGCACTTAAATCTCACCTAATGCTTCCCCTCTGTTCTCCTTCCCTCTCGCCCTTTCCCCCTCTATCCCTCCCTTCCTTGTAGTTCATCAAATCATTACCCAAATTTCACAAGCTAAAATCTGCAGCAATAGTTTTGTTTTAATATGTAAGAATAGGTATTGTTTTTGGCATAGTTTTTCTTCAGGGAAACTATGTCCAACTTGTAGTCCTGAGGACTAGAGGATTTTAATAAGCCAACCCCCTCTTTCCTCAGCAGAATAACATACAGTGTAATCTGAGGAGTCTTCCCTTCCTTATCCCTTTTCCTAACTATTAGTCCCAAAGGATAGCCCAAACATGTTAGTGTTGCAAAGTTTCTGGAAACTGCGTATACAAACGTGTTTTATACAACTTGATGGGGCTGTAGGTCCCACTCCCATCCCCACCTCCTTGACTTCTGGTACAGCCATGTTTTAGCTCTGAGCTTCAGGTGTTCACTGCAATGTTCGGAGTTGGATTTTGGTTTCTCTATATCATGAAGACGTTGGTGATTGAGGGAAGGGGTTTGCTTCTGAGTATGTATTGCCCCTGGTGGCGCAGTGGGTTAAACCGCTGAGCTACTGAACTTGCTGATCAAAAAGTTGCAGGTTCCAATTCGGGGAGCAGCGTGAGCGCCCGCGGTTAGCCCTAGCTTCTGCCAACCTAGCAGTTCGAAAACATGCAAATGTGAGTAGATCAATAGGTACTGCTCCAGCGGGAAGTTAACGGTGCTCCATGCAGTCATGCTGGCCACATGACCTTGGAGGTGTCTGCGGACAATGCCGGCTCTTCGGCTTAGAAATGGAGATGAGCACCAACCCCCAGACACAACTAGACTTAATGTTAGGAGAAAACCTATAGCTTTACTATGTACCTTTTTGCTCCTTTGTTGTCTCAACCGGATGTAGAGATCCCCAATTGACAGATCCCAGGCATATACAATATTTTTGGGTCCAAGTATTGAAGTGTGCCCAGAAAAAAAACAAGGAGTCAGTGCCAAAATTAACATACATTACTTTTGTAGATTTCCAGAAAGTTTGGTGGGTGTTGGCAAAGGGATTCTTATTGTACAGGTTATACCTGGGGAGATTGTTGAATTGGATCCTTTTCCAAGTTTGTGATTTATGATCTCCTGAAGAATATCCCGACTGTGTTTCTTGGAAGTGGTTGCCAGAAGGAGGTTACGGAGTTCCTTCCTTCCTTCCTCCATCAGGGGAAGTTTTTAAATATAGACTGTATAAACATATGTCAAGGGTGACTCAGGCCTAATTAATCCAGCTTTGGTGCGGCAGCCTGTGGACTGAGATGACCTCTTGTGGACCTTTCCCACATCTCCCACTCCCTTCCCCTGGGTTTCCTGGACCGAGTTGTAGCTGGAGGCTGCAGGTGGTGGTGGCTTGGCCTAGCCTGTCACAGCAAATACTTTTGGGTTTTTTTGGCAAAGAGGCACCCCCCCCCCACACACACACACCTCCCACCTCTATTTTGCCAGAGGAGCACGGAAGAGCAGCTGAGTCCCCCTTGGCAGACTCATGCACAACGCATCTGTAAGAACCTTGGCTGGGTTCCCGGGTTCCGATTGCTTGGCTTCCAGCAGAGGCAGCTGGCTCTTGTGGCTTGGCAGCTGGGGAGGGGGGCAGCCAGCAAGAAGAGGCAAGCAGAACTCATGTCTGTGGATCTGGAGGAGAGAGAACACAAACAGCAAGCACACATCTCTGCTGTGTCTCTTGAGTGGGGGCGGGAACTCAACCACTAAGCACTAAGGCTGGTACAGACAAGTAGGTGACTCCTTCCCTTCTCCTTTCATAGAAGAATATTCAAAAAGGCATAGGGAGAGCCATCTTCATTCAGTACCGTGGGGGTGGTCTGTTCTCTCCTCCCTTTCTACTGCAAACCTGGACCTTGGTTGCCACCAATGAGAGCATTTGGAAAGTCTTAGCAAAATAGCTGGAAATGACCATAAAGAAAAACTAATTTCCTTGGACAACAGCTTTCAGAATACCCAAGCCAGTATGGCTAGTGGCTGTGCTTCTTGGATGAATCTGGGGGCTGAGGCTGAGCCAGGAACTTTTCCAAGCTTTGGAAATTATTGTTGTGAATCTGCTGGGAGGCAGATTTTCAGGTGTGTTTCTCCCCCCAGCTTATTTATCCCATCAGTAAGTTTTTGTCAGATGTGGAATTAAACCCAAATTGGTTCCTGTGTTCCAAATCTAGCAGCCACTTGGAAGTCACATGCAGTCTCTTTCCTACTGCGGAATTGGTTCAGTCTGTCATTGGAAGGCGTCAAGTTAGAGAGTACCGTTTTCTTCAAATTATTCTGTGCATCATTCTGCTTTGGCGTACCTAACTACTTCAGCCTTCAGATGTTTCCAGCTGGAATTGGCGTCCATTGCATCTGAGACCTTTTAACACATACAGAATGCTTTCTCGTCAAGTTATGCCTCAGTGCACCTCATCCATTGTTTGCAAGCCATTCTCTGGAAGGTTTCCCTCTGGCAAGAATACAGTGGGGTCCTGCCAGCTGGAACAAACAATCTTTGAAGAGTTATTTCAAGATCTCCTTTTGGTACATTGTGTACCACAAACAGTTGCAGAGGAATGTTCTGCTTTTGTCTTCTTCTTTTCCTATTGGCTGTTCCCTACTTATACCCTCCTCACTTGTCCTGGATAGTTCAGAAATGGCATGATGTTGTCCAGGAACATTTGAAGTATGTTATTGATACCCCAGGCAGAAATACACATAAACCACAAAGAAGATCATGGAAAGGAATGTTACTATTACTTAGTAAGTTCTAGGTTAAATTGCCATTCAGGAATAGTGACCTAACTAGGTGACTATGAGCCCATTACTGTGGTTTAGCTAAACCTACCTTACAGGAGCGTTGTGAGGATACAAATGAGGAGGACCATTAATAATTCGTTTTCTTAAATGTTAAAATCTGTAGTTTATGAGATGAATTAAAATAATAAAATGCAAGCTACACAAATAAATTAATAATCACAATAGCAATAAAAACTAAAATCCAAAGGCATTGAATAGTTGCCATATGTAAAGCTGCCTTGAGTCCCCTTCGGGGTAGAGAAAGGCAGGATACAAATAGAGTAAATAAAATAAAATTCTCAGCAGGCGTTTTAAACAGTGCAGACCTCCAAAAGTACTAAAATGGTATCCAAATTGCCAGTGCCCTTGGACACCATTTTAGTGTCCTGGGAGGGAGGGTGCATCCTTGGGAAGGGAGAAGGCAGTCTTTCTGAGTCAAGACAGGCTCATGCTGGGCTCCCAACTCATCCAATGTGAATGCAGGCTTTGGCAGATTTGATACACTCCTGCTTGCTGTAACATCCATAATGCCCCCAGGAAACATTCTGTGTATATTCAGTTCAGCTGCGTATCTTATGCAGGTCTTGTTATTTTCCTTTCATATCATTATTGTCCCCATATGGCAGGCAAAGGGAATCAGTTTGAGGAAGAGGGACTTGCCAAGGCCATCATCGAGGGAACTGATGACTGCGGTGAAAATTGAAGAGGGTGTTTGGAGTTTGGTTGTTTCAACATGAAAGTTTGTGACACACTGCTTCTGAGGTGTAGAATAATAGAATCAGAGAGTTGGAAGAGACCATGAGGACCACCCAGTCCATCCCCATTAGGCCATGCAGGAACACCAGTCAAAGCACCCTGACAAATAGCTTATCCAGCCTCTGTTTAAAAAACCCCCAAAGGCGGGGACTCCACCACACTCCGAGGCAACATATGTTGAACAGTTCTTGCCATCATGAATTCCTTCCTAAAGTTTAGATAGAATCTGTTTCCCTGCAATTTGAGTCCATTGCTCCATTGTGTGCTAGTCTCCAGAGCATCCAAAAAGAAGCCTTCCCCTTTTTCAATGTGATATCCTTTCAAATATTTAAACATTGATAGCACAGCCACTTTCAGGCTTCTGAGAGGGAAGCACCTTCTTTAGAGGCTTTTAAACAGAGGCTAGATGGCCATCTGTTGGGGGTACTTTCATTGTGCTTTTCCTGCATGGCAGGGAGTTGGACTGGATGGCCCCTGTGGTCTCTTCCAACTCTGTGATTCTCTTCTGCAAGCTAAGCACCCCCAGCTCCCTAAGCCATCCCTCATAGGACTTGGCTTCCAGGCCTTTGACCATTTTGGTCATCCTTTTTAAGTTTAGGCTGAAATCTGGAACTGACCCACCTTGACTTGATCAACAGGTTAGCCAACAGACCACAAACCCCAAACAATTGCCATGGAAGAAACAGCATCAGCAGCTTTTTGGAGGCCATGGTGGGAGGATGTTTTATCTTTGCTTCTCTGTCCAGGGCTCACAGCTCTAAACTCCTTTCCTCAGCAATCCATGTCAACACAGCAGTGTTCCCTGCTTAATGTGTAGCAAGATCCAGATTCTAATTCTGTCAGCGGCAGGGCCCCTCACACTGGAGGATCTCATAGTCTGCATTTAGGTTTAACTACCAAAGCCTAATCCTTCCTTGACACTTTTAGCTCAATGGACACCTTTTGCTACATTTATATAACTGCGGGGGAGGTGAGGTTGTGTTTGAACATTATTTTCAGAAAATCTAGTATATAGTTTTGAGAGAATGTTATGTGTAGCGTTCTCATCGCGGGGTGGGGGAGATTGATGATTTAGTCAAGGAAAGAAATGGAAGCTATAGTAATTGGCTATGCATGTCCGCATGTATTCTCCCCCCCCCCCAATCCATGGTTACGGGGGGGGGGGGGTTCTTTTGATTATTTTGGTAATTTTATAAGTTGTTTTTTTCCAAATTGCTTATTGTTTTTGAATGCTTCCCCCTCCTTCCTGGTAATTAAGGGTTTTAAGCATTTATTCCATGGTAACAAGAAGTACAGTTCTTTTATCAATAACAATATATTCTGTTCACGTTAATAAGCTGATGGGTGCTCACAGCCCTCCAAAGCAGACACACAGAGTGTGGCAAGAGGGGAAAAGCTTAATTGCTATTCTTATTGAAAGCGATTAATCCTCTTGATTGAGGAGCTGAGAGTGCAAGGGATGGGGGCAAGTTGCAACATTTGCAATGTGAACATTCAGTAGAATACATTTAAGGTGAATACTCTTCCTTTCCCTTCCTTTGCGGTCTTTCCGCCATCATTTGGAGCTGGTGACCACTTTTGCATGGCTACTATGTCCACCAAGATGACTATACTCACAAAGTGGCTCTGACAAGATCTGGTCTCTGAACAGTCTCCAGTTGGTCTGAAACTGGTGACTAGAATGTGGAAATGTTAAGTGTTAACACCAATGTGTGATGTCAAGTTGTTGAGGAAATTCAGCTAGTCAACATTAAAACATTAAGAACATTATACATCCTAAATTGAATTACTAGACCCATCCTGAAGCATTGGCTGCTTGTACCTGGCAGGTTTGCAGGTGAGAAAGAAATAACTGTAGCCAGTGATTGGTTCCTGCCTCACTTGGAGAAAAGCCTGTCTACCCAGATCAGAATCTGAGAAGCACCAGGCTGGAAGATAGAGGTGAGGAAGACAGTGAATATCTGAGACTCTGTAGAACAAGATGTCTCTAAGAGTCATGGAATCAAGATATCTTTAAATGTGGAGTGTGTGTCTGTCTGATCATAGTGTCCTCCTTTGCACAGCTGTATGAATGAAAACAGTGCAATGCAAGCTGAAAATGTTCAATGTAATCATAAAAAACTGACCATGTTCATTTTTTAAAAAAGTTAATGTTTTAAGCCAAAATATCAATTTTTTGACTTGTTCATCATTTTTTTGTCACAAATTCCAATGGAATGAATCTCTCCTTAGCCATAGTTTCTCATTTAAGCCATAGTTTCTCATTTAATCCAAATAGGAAACTGGTTATTTGCTTCAGCACAAGCCAGACTATTAAACAAACTTCAGAATGTAGCATAACATCTTGGCGTTGTATTAATCTAATAGCCACAATTTCTTGGTTTACGCAAACAGGTTAAGTGTAGCCTTCCATGTTTGATTGTTGGTTGCGAACAGGGCTTCTGTGCTTAAGCAAAAACTCATGTTATATGTATTTTCTTTTCACTGTGCCATGTGTATCATCTATATTTTCTCACTGTATCAAGTTCTCGGCATCTTGTGTGCTAAGTGGCAAGTATCAGATATGACATAGAAGGTCATAGGCATAATGCAAACAAATATATATCCACGTGGTAAAAGGGACATAGTGTGGGGACTTACTTATGTAAACTGAGAGAGAGTGACAGAGGTGGAAGTCTACAGCAGGATGTATTAGTAGGCTGGCATTTTAGGATTAGGAAGATTCTGGATGACTGGGACATCTCATCCCCAGTTGTCCACAGTTTTTTTTTTATGTAGCCACAGAGTGGTCCAGCAAGTAGGAAATAAACTCCTACACTAAACCTCAATAGTATGTCTCATAGCAGTTGTAATTTTCTCCTCTTTTTGTCTCTTCCATATCACAGATGCCTGTTTATGTCCTTGGGGTCTCTAACAGTTACTTTCTTTTCCCTCTCTACCACTCTCAGGTCGCAGGAATTGCTCAGCCGAGGCGAGCCACATCCTTACCTCCCTGACCTGAGCAAACAGTCAGAAATGGAGTTCATCGAGACGAAACGGCCCCGACTGGAGCTGCTTCAGGAGCCACTGCTGAGGCACTCGCCCCTGCTCAACCAGAGTCAGCAGGGAGACACTGACGAGCTGTCCAAAGTAAGCCAAGGAGCCTCTTAACAACAGGAATGGGGGGCATATGTGCTGTTTTGGCAAGGAGATTTGGAAAGGAACAGGATGTGCCTCCTAGAAGAGAAATTGTGAGGTCTGTGATACTTTATCTCAGTGTATAGGGGGAAACTGATCTGTAAGCTTTCACCTCTGTTAATCCTCAAGTGAGCCAAAGGGAGGAAACACTCTCTGCTTATGGGGCCCATTGCCTGAAAGCCTTCACAGTGTTTTCAGTCTGAGGGAATCTTGGTCGAACCAGAATGCATTGGACATCTTAAACATACTGCATAGATCTATTGTTAGCAAGTGTAAGGACGTTGCAGCCAAAATAGCATTGTCTGCAGTACAACACTGGCAAAAAAGCTGAGGGTTTGAAAATTGGGTTAGAAGAAATGATCCAAATCATGCAGATATTTGGTGCCATGTGCTGAAGGTAGCATCATGCCCAGATCAGGAAGGCTTTGATGCAGATTCTCCTTTCAGCCAAGCAGCTGTTGTCTGTCAGTTGTTACCTCTCAAAATGAACCAACTTGTGGGATTGTAGTGCAGATATCATGCTCTAATTGGAATGAAATAGGTGAAGACAGCAGAGGAAAATCAGTTAAGAATCTGGAAAATGCATATAAGCAAGGGCAGTAACAGAGTGACTATTAATGGTATCTCTGGAAAGAGCCTCATAACTTCTGATGGCCCTGTTAATGATGTAGACCCTTGTGTGTGTGTGTTGTGTATTTTCTCTGTAGCAAATAGCAACTGCAGAGGCGGGAGGTGTCTTGCACCAAGACTGTGTCCTGAGCCCAGTAATTTATGTCTAACATGCTAATGAGATTAAAGCAAGTCTTCCCCACAAAACTTTCTCATGTTTTGCATTTTGTTTTCTTAGAATTATATGTTGATTAAAATAATTGAAAGCTAAGATTCTTGGAAACATATCTAGGCCCAGATATCTGGGAATTCTGCTGTTTCTTTGTGTTTCTGAGGAACTGCAGCTCATTCAAAACCCTAACCAGTCTCTCGGTAGGTAGAATGTGATTCAGGAGATACAATTGTTTTTAAAAATCGCTTTTGTTCGATGGTCAGCCGCTTTCTTTTTTTTTTCAGATTATTTCAGCTCCTGTGAAAAGCATACATGACCTTGCAAAATGCCACATTCTGAGAGTGTTGCAAATCCTGTTTTAGCACTTTCCAGTGTGAACACTCAGCCTTGCTGCCTCTCCCCCTCAGTGCCACTTCAGTTTTTACACATATTCATCAAAATTGCCAGTTTTCAAGTGTTCCTTGTCCTCCTCGTAGCTTTCTTCCTCCATTCCTTTTTGGAATTGGTTTTAGCAGATACCCATGGGAGAGGAGGCAAAAGTGCGTCACATGGTTATCTCTTGATTGGAGTTGGTAAAAAAAGTTTTACATCCATTGCTGCTGAGCATGAGACTTTGTAGGTCAGCCAAAATGTGGCTATTTGGTCTTTTGTGAAGTCATGGGATTAGAAGTTCGATGGTAAAACTTTTCAGCTAGCAGGGTGGCAGGATTAGCTGTGGAGCAAGGCTTACTGAAACATGAAGTGGAGCAGGCATAACGGAGCAGCTGAGCAGAACTAGTGATGTGGTAGCCACAATTGTTGCCTGACATTATCTGAATGTTCTTACAACAGGCCTTGCTGCCCCACTATTTCCAATATTGCAGTGAGCATTCTGAACCTGGAGGTGTTCAGGAGATCTTTCTGGGGAAGGGAGACTATGCACACATTAAAAAGGTTTTTGAAAAGTTAAAAACTTGCATCCTTTTCCTTAAAAGAACTTGCCTGAATAAAAAAGTCAATGTTGGCTCGCAGAAGAGTACAGGCTGACCCCAAGCATAAAGTCTTATGGGATTATTCAGCTGCATTCTTGGATTCAGTTTTCAAGGGTTTTTTAAAAAAAAGTTTTAAATGCATTTGAGGGCAATTTTGCAGGGTGTTGGTGTTGGTGGGGGAGGGGGAGGGTAAAAATCACTCATTTTTTCAAACAAAGGATCTTTGGACTTCAGGGATTGCAAATTGGTGCTCTGTGGGCTACCCATGGCTTGTGGGACCCCCTTTCCCCACATCTAAGATCAGTGCGTGGACTTGTTATAAAGCAGATTCCTTTGTGTGGGTATGTTTGTTACAGAAATGTGACACCCCAGTTAAAAACAACTGGCTTGGTTGGCAGTATTCAGTTCTCAGGTTTCTTGCTAAGGTAGAAGATAAGGTCTTACCAATTCTTGGGGCTCTTTCTCGTGACCATTGCCTCTTGCCCATTTCTTAGTGAGGTGGATTGTTTGTAGCAACTGGAAAGTTGCCCCTCTTCTTTCTGCCTTGTTGGTTCTCCGTTGTATTTATCATTTGGATTGCTCATCCCTTGCTGGGAGTAAGTGCCGTTCTTCATCCTCCACCCCCACACAGTGGGCTGGATTTCAGCAGTTATTAATGAAACTGGCTGGGGTGTTCATTGACCTTGGCAGGCCTCCCACTTGGCCGGGGAGTGACTGGCAAAGACCTAATCCCTAATTGAGTAATCTAGGTCTTGATGGTGGCGGCAGAGTAGGGCACCGCTCTTTGAACACAGAGCGCCACAGCAGCAGGCAGAGGGGGAATATACCTACGACAGTCATATAGCCATAGAACTGTCAATTCTGTGCCTGTCACCACAGATTGGGCACACATTGAAGAGAATTTCAAGGTGACATCTCCATTTCCTCCTTCTTTTTTTAACTCTCAAGAAAAGCTTTTCTGACAAAGGGAGAGGTCTCTACATATGAGACACCGTTTTCCCGTGTACTTAGAGTAGTAGAAGAGACTGTTTCTGCTACTCTCCTGCTTCCCCAGTGAGCAATATTTGTGGACTCCTAGGTTCTGTTTCTCTAACCACATTCGTTACAAGATATCTCTGGGGTCATACTGTCTGCTCTTGAGCTTGGAAGGAAAAAGGAGCAACCCCTATTCCCAGTATAAGGTTGCTCCCCCCTCTCTCCATGCTCAGAAGCAGCTGGACCAAGTTCTTTCTGCAAAGTCCAAATGGAGGTAACCTACTAAGGTCATTGAAAAGTTATTATCGATGTTCTCCGTTGACTGTAATCCAGGACCCATATAAATCGAGGTTTGGGAGTAGCATCTTTGGAAGTCTGTTCACTCAACTCACCATCTCTGTAAAAGCAATTTTTAGAACCAGTCTTTTGTCACCTTCTGCTCCTTGCCTTTTGATTGACGTTCATAGCCATATTTTAAATTAGTGTTTGAGCAGTAAGTGGTTGGCGAGTGAGACTTCCCCTCCTGTCTTCGTTGAGGCTGAATGCCTCTTCTCGGCAAACTCGGCTCATGATTTGCATAATTAGACCTTTCTATTCTGTTCCATCAATATTACAAGGTGACATCTCACCCAGTTCTCTTTGGGCTAAAGCGAATCCTTTCACTTCATGCTCCCCACCTCTGTAATTGGAAGAAAGGCTGGCTCCCACTTGTTCCCACCCATTTACTTCTGATGAGAGCTTTGCTACGCTGATAGGATGGGAGATTTGCTGTGTATGACATTTTTTTAAAAGTACACAGTGGGGTTGGGGCCAGGGTAGCACTATCCGTAAGTTTCTTCACAATTTTGAATCTGCTTTCTGTTATGGAGACAAGTGCTTGAATCCAGCAATTACACTACATTTTCTCTTCTGAAAGGCTATCACCTGATTTATCTGGGTGTTCTTCTGTCCAGTAAAACTGAGCTTGAAAGGAGTATATGTTTGAGTGGCAGTTAGTAGAAGAAACATTTTCCCTCTCCCTTTCCAGGCTCCTTTGATTTCTTCGTTTTATGCATGATTAAGTGGACAGCCTCAGACTCCCAAAAGGTTTATGGTTGAACGTGGTGAATGAAAATGTCCTTTGAGAAATTGATTGTTGAATGAAACATGGGAGCATATAATGATGCCAAATCTTAACAGTGCACATACTCAATTGCAACACTGACTTTGAAATCATTGCAAACTCCAGGAAAAGAACATGATATAAATAAATTTGGCAAATTTCTCTTTGTACTGAACTGCCTTATAAAGATCAAGGGAGCAGCATATTTTAAACGTCCACAGTGCTTGCAGAGAGGTGTATAAAATAAAAACATTATTTGCACATAAAATCCGAATGTAAATATCAGTACTCAATTTGAACTTTTTTTCATTTTGAGAGACAAACACTTATTTTCCAATAGTTTTCCACAAAGTTGGATGTGGGCTTTATATAATGGGCTGTATTACAGTCCTAGCAGAGTCAGAGCTTTAAAATAAAAATGAATTGATGTTATTGGTTTTTTAATTAAAATATTTATATATTTACAAGCTCTCTAGATGGCGTACAGATACAAGAAGTTCTAAACATTTAGAAAACTGTCATTTTAAAACAATGAAGAATATTTTTAGCTACATAAAATATATTAAACAATTTTACAACTTAAGCCAGTTAAAACCTACACAGACTTGGATAAATGTTAATGTCCCAAAGTCTTTAATAGAAGGCCATGTTTAATCTAGAGATTCCACTCTAAAAATTTACTAGATCCCCAAGTATACCATAAAATCACCTGGAGAACCTAGCAGATTCCTAGAGAGAATATTTCCCCTCAGACTCAGGTAAGTGAAATTGCAGATATGGGTTCTGTGGTAATGGAGGTCTTATTGCCCCAAGCCCCCTTGAATTTAGAATAGAAGTATAACGACATGAGTGCAATTCTTTTAAGACTCGTGTTGTGTGGCTTTTACAGGATCTCCCAGTCAAGGGCTCTAGCTACTGCTGTGTTTGTACTAACTGCAGTTTATACTACCGGCAAGTTGTCTTCAAGAGCAAGCCTGCTTAGAGTGCATTGCAGACATCTAAACAGCTTACCAGCTGTGAACTGTAGATAGATTATCCTTTTCCTGGAAAGCCGTAGCCAGCTGGCCAATCAGAGCGTGCTCTAAGTGCTCTGAATCACATATTCTGCCTATACTTTCAGTGA